CTCAAAACCCATCATAGCCGCAATCATAATCCGCATGCGTCTCCTCCAAAGCCCACCTATCTATCTCCTACAACATCCCCAGTCCAGACCGACAAGTAAATACCTATCTATACCTACAGATATCCAGCCCACGACACACAACCGCTCCTCACTCACATCCACGGACTCCCAGACGGGACAGAAACAAGAGAAGGAAGCGGGGGTATGTATGCTTCGCCTCTTACTTACCTTTTACCCAACTATCAGACTTGCAGGTACTCCGTAGCTCGGCGCGATGGATAGATGCATGACCGTGGTGAAGCAGCAGACTTGTAGTTGTCGGTGCTATCCCTCCCCCCTTCCTCTCTCTCTCTCTGTCTCTCTCTCTCTCTCTCCCTCCCTCCCTCTCTCTACCCTGCCTCCCCCCCCCCAAAGCTTTCTCGCCGGCCCAGGAGATCTCACGTCTCGCTTACCTGCCTGCCTGCCTGCCTGCTCACTTACCTGCCTACCTGCCTGCCTGCCCGCTCACCACCAAAGACCAACCCAACCCGACCTACCCAACCCGACTTACCCAACCCAACTTAAAAAGCCACGTTCTCTCCTCCCTCCCGCCCCGTATTCCCATCCGTCGTCTGTCAACCTACCTACCTACCTACCTAGAATCCCGTCCGTCAAAGATCTTCTCTTCCCGATCCTGGGGGCCTGGACTCGGACTCGGACTCGGACTCGGACTCGGGCTGGGTTGGCTTGGCACGTGCTACCGCGAGAGAAAAGCTTGGCTGGGCTAGGGAGACAGAACAGAAACTTCGCGAGCGAGTGAGCGAGTGAGCGGGTGGTTGGTTGACTTTGGCTATGCGAGTGGATGTGGATGGGTGGGTGGATGGGTGGGTGAGTACAGGTGCGATGCGACGGTACTTAGATAGATAAGGTACCTACCTACTTAGGTGCGTGTATGGATGTCTATGTCTATGTCTATGCCTATGCTCGTCTGTCTGTCTGGGTGAGTTGGACATACATATACCTACTAGGTGCGTGTGTAGGTACGGTAGGTAGGGGTGCTGGGTGGGCAGTGCCGATGCTGGATATTGATTGTGTAAGGTACCTATAGATACCTAAGGTAGGTATAGGTATCGAGGTACCGGTACCGGTAGAGGTTCACCCCTTTCCGCCCCCTATCCTGTCCTGCCCACTTCGTTCAACCCGGATGGTAAGCGAGTCGAGCTAGAGCTGTCGTGTCACTAGGTACTTATCGGGTGCACCATCTCCTTTCCGTCTTATTCCGTCTTTTTCTCTTCTCTTCTTTTCTTCTTCTTTTCTCTCCTCTTCTATTCCTTTCTCCTTCCCCTTATTCCCTTCTCCTCTCCTTTGCTTTTCCTCTTCTTTTCTCTTTTCTTCTTTTCTCTTCTCCTTCCCCTCTCCTCTTCTTTCCTCTCCTTTCCCTCTCCTCTTCTTTCCTCTCCTTTCCCTCTCCTCTTCTTTCCTCTCCTTTCCCTCTCCTCTTCTTTTCTCTTCTCTTGTTTTTCTCATCCCATCTCTTCCCTTCTCTTCTCTCCTTTCCTCTTCTCTTCTCTCCTCTCCTCTTCCCCTTCCCCGCGACTGTATCACGGCAGGTCTCGGCAATGGTTGGACGCGGTCGATCTGGCGGCGTAGGTTTTGGCCCTGGCATACACCCGTGGGTCCGCCCGCGCACGTGCAGGCTCGGGATGTCCTACTCCGATGCCGCCGCCCGGCTTGTCTCTTTACGGCTCATCGGTGCCGAGATCTCTGCCGGCGGTGGCCACTCACGGGGGTGGGGAGGGATCTCTCCTGGGGAGGGATCTCTCCTGCACATGCCCGTTTCAAGAGGGATCCCGGCTGGTGGGCGTTGCGGGCGCTGGCGGCTGGGCGGATGGGTGATTTCGGTCCCCTAAGGCGTGACCAGTTTGTATTACATAAACCCCCGAGCTTGAAACGGCTTTTTTCTTGGGTCCCGACATGCAAGATCTCGTGGGAAGGAACGGGTTACGTACGAGGTCGAGAGGGGTAGTAGGGGGGGGGGGGGAGGTTATATTTAGACGGGACGGGGTGGGCAGATGTGAGATTTCCGTTCTCGGGAGTACTATAGCATAGAGTGAGTACTCTGTATTTCAGATGTACTTAGTACTAGTAGTAGTACGGTAGTGCTTCAGATCCACGCCGTATCCCGGCAGGCACCGGCGGCAACCAGTTGGTTGTCTCCACCAATCGATCGTGGGGCTATGCCGCCGATGGCGGAAGATGATGGGATGATGGGATGATGGGATGGTTGGTTGATTGGCTGATGGGTGAAGGGTTCATTGGTAGATTGGTTGATTGGTTGATTGGGTCATTGGTTGATTGGGTCATTGGTTGATTGGGTCATTGGTTCATGGGTTCGTGGGTTCCTGGGTTCACGTGTGGTTACTAATCAGGATCTCTTGGTGTTGGTAGTTGGACCACCGCATCATCTGATGCACTACCGGTACACGACGATACTGCCGACGCCTCACCGCCTGCTCGTTTATCCTGTAGCTGTGACCTGACCTGACCTGAGCTGACCAGAGCGAACCCAGCATCCGCATCACCTGATCGACGTGCCCTCGTGATTCGTACCATGGCAGCCTCGGTGGTGGCAAAGAGCGTCCAACTTCGAGCGCACACCCACGACCAGACAAGCCACGACCGTCCAACACCCGTAATCCCAAGTCGATATTCCCCCTCCTCCTCCTCCCCCCCCTCCAACCCAACCCAACCCAACCCCGACCCACCTGTGGAACCTGGGAAGGAACGGACGCACAGTCCCCGCCCGATCTGCATCTAGGACCAGGAGTCAGGACCCGGAGTCAGGACCAGGAACCTCTCCCCGCCTCCCCCGGGATTCCCACTTGAGCTTCAACATACCCTGTGAACATCTCCGTCGGATCTCCAAGATCCTCCTCCTGCGCCCATCCTCTCTCGTCCGCCTGTCCGCCTGTCCGTCTGTCCGTCTGCCCGTCTGCCCGTCAGTCCGTCCGCCTCCACTTGCGCTTCTGGAGAAGCTATCGATATTCTCCGTAGCCCGAAAAAAAAAAAGGAAAAAAGGAAAAAAAAGAAAAAAAGAAGAAAATAGAAAGAGCCCAGAGCAGGCAGGATGCCCTCAGCAGCTGCCCGCCGCCCGGCGCTGGCCATCAGATCCCGCCCCAGCCAAGCCCAACAACAACCCTCTGCGACCCATCCCGTCGCATCTACACCACTCACCACTCTGCAAACTGCGATCCCAATAACAACTTCTTCAATCGCATCGGTCTCCTCATCATCACCATCACCATCACCATCACCATCACCACCATCACTACCACCAACATCCATTCCCAGCAGACCACCGCCCAACAAACTCAAACACCGACCTTGCACTTCCTCCAGTGACCTCTCCCCCATCTGCTCGCTAGGCTTCAATCCGGTCCAGCACCCCGCCACCTGCTCTTCACAGCTCGACCGCCCCTCCAAGCGAGCGATGCCCACCCCCCGCAAAACCATCGCCGTCGTCAATGCGTCTGGCCGGCAAGCGGCCTCCGTGATACGTGTGGCCTGCGCCGTCGGCTACACCGTCCGCGCCCAGTTACGGAATCTCGACGGGATCGTCGCTTCCGAAATCTCCTCCCTGCCGAACGTCACGGTCTTGGTGGGCGAGCTGTACATTCGCTCGCCCAATTCCGCTCCCGGGACCCCGGGCTCGCTCCACGGATCCGACTCACCAGAGCTGGGCTCGAAGAGTCGCGGGACCGGCGCGCCCAACCACGCCCTGATCACGGAACTGTATCGCGGAGCCCAGCTCGCCTTCATCAACACCACCTTCTGGGGCGACGAGGTGGCCATCGGAAAGGCGCTGGCCGATGCCGCTCTGGCGGCAGATATCGAGCATTACATCTACTCCTCCATGCCGGACCACTCGCACCACTCGCCCACGTGGCCCGCGCTCCCCCTGTGGTCCTCCAAGACCACCATCGAGGCCTACATCCGCTCCCTCCCCCCCCTCCTCGCGCGCACGACGTTCCTGTACACCGGCATCTACAACAACAACTTCACGAGCTTGCCATATCCCCTCTTCTGCATGGCCTGGAAGCCCGACATGGGCCGCCACGGGGGCTTCGAGTGGACCGCCCCCTTCCATCCCGACGTCCCCCTGCCGTGGCTCGATGCCGAGCACGACGTCGGCCCGGCCGTCATCCAGCTGATCAAGGACGGCATCGCGCGCTGGGGGAACGGCGAGAGAGTCGCCCTGGCCTACGAGATGCTCTCCCCCGTCGAAGCCTGCCGCACCTTTGCCCGAGGCGTCGGCCGCCCCGTGCGGTACCGGTACAGCCCCACCATCGACGTCCAGGTCAAGATCCCCCACGGGTATCGCGAGCAGCTCGTCGCCTTGGAGAAGATGTACGCCCTGGGGGCCGAGGACGGGCGGCGGCAACCGCCGTACTTTGGGAGCCAGCAGATGGAGCAGAGCTGTCCGGGCGAGGCCCTGGAGCTGTGGGAGGGGCATCGGGGATTGGAGGAGTATGCGAGGGAGGTGTTCCCGCTGGAGGAGGCCGCGAATGGATTGACGTGGATGAACGAGAGCGAGCCGGAAGGCGAGGAGGCCGGCCGGATCGAGAGGGGCGACGAGAAGGGCGACGAGGAAGATCGGGACAGCGAGGGCGAGAGCGAGGGCTTGGTGATGGGCGGGGTGACGGATACGCCGGCGCGACAAGAGGAGAGCTGGCTGGCGTGATGGACCGGAGGAGCCGCGCTCTCTTGGAACCGGACGGGGAAGCAGAGGACGAGGGCCATCCCTGATGGAAAGCGGGGACGGGCGAGGTGGCGGTGGTGGATCAGGGGGGGGGGGGGAGGGGGTCTGGAAAACACAACAGCACGACACACCAGCACGGACGTATATCATGAACAGATCTTTTTCGAAAGCGAAGGGAAGCAAAAAACGGACAGGACAAAAGCAGGCGCAATGAATGTCCTGGCACGGACGGTGTTCAAACGCGGTATATTTTACATACACGGGGCTCTTGGCGAGGTTGATTGGGGAAAAGGACGGTCGGGATGTTAACTCTGTCTTGATTCCGTGGGGTACTTTTCACTACCTTTAGTAGTACATGATGGGACGGGTGGCCAATGTCATCCTATCTCGTCTATGTTGAGAATGAATCTTGTAAAAATTTCCAACTACTGCAGAATATATGCGTGTATGTGCTTGTATGTATAGAGGATGCATACAGCGTAGGGCATACTTTAATACTTGTTCGCAGAGAAAGAGGGGGGGGGAGAGATAGAGCTGGTGTAAGCGTAGATAAGGGTGTGGAAGTGCATGAGGATGTAGGTGTGGATAAGGGTATAAGCGTGGATGATATAAAGGTATAGAAAGAAGTAGATCAATCTCTCCTCGGCTTCTGCTTCTGGTTCTGATTCTGGTTCTATTCTATTCAAGGAGAAGTAAGGAAGTAGAAGTGAAAGTGGGAGTGGAATGAAGTGAGGAAGGGGAAGTGGAAGTAAAGTGGAAGTGGAATGAAGTGAGGAAGGGGAAGTAGAAGTGGAAGTGAAGAGGAAGTAGAACTGAAGTGAAAGTGGGAGTGGAAGTGGAAGTGGAAGTGGAAATGGAAATGGAGTAGAAGTGGAAGTAGAAGTGAAAAGAAGATAGAAGTAGAATGAAGTGAGGAAGTGGAATGGAAGTGGAAGTGGAAGTGAAGAGAAGTGAAGAGAAGTGGGAGTGAAGAAGTGGAAGTGAAGAGAAGAAGTAGATTAATTTCTCGTCGGCTTTTGCTTTTGCTTTTAGTTCTGCTTTTAGTTCTATTCTATTCTATTCTATTCGGGGAGAAGCGAGAAAGCGAGGAAGTGGAAGTGGAAGTGGGAGTGGAATGAAGTGAGGAAGGGGAAGTAAAGAGAAGTGGAAGTGAAGATGGAAGTGGAAGTGAAAAGAAGTGAAGAAGTGGAAGTGAAGTGGAAGTGGAAGTGGAAATGAAGATAGAAGTGAATAAAAAAAATGGAAGTGAAGAGACGTGAAAATAGAGTAGAAGTAAAAGTGGAAATAAAAATGGAAATAAAAGTAGAAGTAAAGTAAAGTAGAAGTGAAGGTCATACTTTAATACTTGTTCGCAAAAAAAGAAAAAGAAGAAAAGATAAAGCTAGCGTAAAAGTGGATAAAGATAAAAGCGTGCTATAAAGGTGTAGAAGTAAATAAAGGTATAAGCGTAAGTGAAAGTATAAAAGTAAATTAATTTTTCGTCGGCTTTTGCTTTTGCTTTTAGTTTTGCTTTTAGTTTTATTCGAAAAGAAGCGAGAAAATGAAAGTGAAAATAAAAGTAGAAATGAAATAAAAATAGAAGTAAAAGTAAAGAAGTAAAAGTGAAGTAAAAGTGGAAATAAAAATAGAAATGAAAAGAAGATAAAAGTAAAAGTAAAAAGAAGTAAAGAAAAGATAAAAGTAAAAGTGAAAGTAAAAAAGTGAAAGTAAAGATAAAAGTAAAAGTGGAAATAAAAGTAAAAGTAAAAGTAAAAAAAAAATAAAGTAAAGTAAAGTAAAAGTAACGTAAAATAAAAGTAAAATAAAAGTAGAAGTGAAAGTGAAGGTCATACTTTAATACTTGTTCGTAAAAAAAAAAAGAAACGGAAAAGAAAAGGAAAAAAGAAAAGAAAAAACTGGTATAAGCGTAGAAGTGGACAAAAGCGTGCATAAAAATAAAAGCGTGCATAAGAGTGTAGAAGTAGATAAAGGTATAAGCGTAGGCGAAAGTATAAAAGTAGATCAATCTCTCGTCGGCTTTTGCTTTGAGTTCTGCTTTTACTTTTGCTTTTGCTTTTGCTTTTGCTTTTGCTTCTATTCTATTCGAGGAGAAAGGAGAAAGACAAGCGAGAAAGCGGAAATGGAAGTGAAAGTGAAAGTGGAAGTAGAAGTGAAAGTGAAGGTCACACTTTAATACTTGTTCGCAAAGAAAGAGAGCTCGTATAAGCGTGAATAAGGATAAGGGTGTGGAAGTGCATAAGGGTATAGAAGTGGGTAAGGGTATAAGCGTGGGTAATATAAAAGTATAAAAGTAGATCAATCTTTCGTCGGCTTCGGCTTCGGCTTCGGATTTTGCTTCGGCTTTTGCTTCTGCTTTTGGTTCTGCTTTTGGTTCTATTCGAAAAGAAGCGAGAAAGTAAAGTGGAAGTGAAGTGGAAGTGAAGCGAAGTGAAGTGAAGTGAAAGTGGAAGTAAAAGTAGAAGTGAAGAAAAGTGGAAGTGAAGTGAAAGTCATACTTTAATACTTATTCGCAG